TTTTTCTGATGATTTAGGTGACCTACACACATTTTTAAAAAGATATGTCCAGCAACAACATGAAGACAGGGGCAGCATATAAGTCAATACCAGAAGCATTTATTGACTGATCTCAAAAGTGTTGGCTTACAAAATCAAAATAAGTTATCACAGTAAAAATAATCAAGGGTGTTCTTTCACATTCCTCAACACTGCATAAACAATATGCATTTCCATAAACAAATGAAATATCAGCTGAAAATACAGCATCTTGGTATTTGTTCAGATTGCAGGATCAACAAGAGCTTTTACCACATTTTTTGCCTCATGGTTGAATTGGAAATATGTGCACCTGAGCATAATTCACAACAAGCAAGCAGGAGCTTTTGATAGAGGCTACTGAAAACATTGATGCAAGTTATTGGTAATAAGACATTTTTATAGACTTCCATATTCTGCCCTCTTGTATAGATTTGTGAAAATGAACAGTGATAGACATTTTGCTTGAAAACAGAATTTGAAAGTAATTTCTAGAAAAGGTAAACACAGCTATCTGTATGGCTTTGTAAAAATGAACAACCATATTCTGGCCAATTGTATAGATTTGTAAATATGAACAACCATATTCTGGCCAATTGTATAGATTTGTAAAAATGAACATGAACAGATATTTTTTTTTGTTTTACTTTTTTTAAAATGAAAAATAACTATTTTAAACAACATCAACTGTGAACTGATTTGGGCGTGTGTGTGTTAAAGAGACAGGGAGGGAGGGACAAAGAGAGAGAGAGGCTACATTACTTGTACTGAAACTGTTCTCTTCTCTGTTTCAATACAGCAAAGCGTTCAATGACTTTCTCATTGAAATCAGGCATGCTGAGGACTAGTTCCCTCTCCATGGAAAGCATGGCCAGTGCATTCAGACGTTCCTGGCCCATTGAATTTCGCAGGAATGTCTTAACTCGTGTCAAAGTTGAGAAACATCTCTCAGCTTCAGCTGTTGTCATGGGAGTAGTTATGAGGATGTTCAACAGAGTCACAGTCTCAGAGAACGTCTCCTGGAGGTTGTAGCTCATGAGAACCTGGTACAGTGCCAGTGCACCACAGCCTCCCTTGAATTCAGGATTCTCATAGATCAGAGATAGTTCTGTCTTGAGCTTTGCCTTGCTCAGCATGGGGTATGCATTCACAGTGGCATTCAGAGCCTCATCAGGAAATGAATGGCAGTACCTTTCAAACATGTCTGCTTGCAGTAAGGTAGCACTCACAAGGTGGCCAGAGAAAGAGAACCTTTCTTTGATGTGATCCAGGATGGTGTTGCAGACCTCTTCAGACAGCCTCTGCTTCTCCTCTTCTCTCAAAGCTGTTCTGGGTCTTTTGGCTCCTGTTGCTTCTTGCAGCTGCTGTTGAGAGGAGTCCCTGAAGGCAAACAGACCAATGTGTTTGTTGGCTTTGTACAGTATTGTTGTCTATGTGATGCACAGGTATATGCAATGTATCCATGATGTATAGTACAAATACTTCAGTTCCACTTAAAATGGGCAGGGATGCATAAAGTCTTTAGTGTTTAAGTTAGCCTTTGTGTCTCACATAGCCTGGATGTTCAGCACAGTATACAGTGGTGCTCATAAGCTTATGATCCCATGCTAAAGTTGACTAAAAAGAGGAATAAAAAAGAAAAGAAAATTGGTGTCCATAAAGGTTGGATTTTCCAACTTTTTTAATTAAGTCATTAAGATAAATTTCCAAAAGATTATTTTTTTATTTTTTTATTCCTCTTTTTAGTCAACTTTAGAATGTGTTCATACACTTATGAGCACCACTGCACAGTACACATAGTATATAAAATAAAATAGATTACACCACTGGCCATATATAATGAGAATAATGTAATTTCAAACACAAATGCAGTCTCCTTTCATGCATACATTTTCAAATAAAGCTCTGCTTTGAGAAAGATCGAATGATATTGTTTAATCTTACCTTATGGCCTGCACACTGCTTGTGAAGCTGTCGAGGGCACTTTTGATAAAGACAGCATCGATGTCCTTCTTCTGTAGCTTCTGGTACAGAATGTCGACGTGGGGCATGATTTTGTGAAAAAGCCGCAGGAAAAAAATAAAATCTTCATCATGCAGCATCCTCACGTAGCCAGATGCCTCTCTCACTGTGCCCTGGTCAAATGAACCCAATGAACCCGTCCGGATGGCTTCAAAACATTCTATGAGGTCGTCTCGATTCTCGTAGACAGTGTTCACGACTCTGCTGTTGAAGTTCCACCGTGTGGATGAAGGTCTGGGCAGTCTTCGTGCAACAGTCTGGTCAAGAATGCTGGTGCGTTTGGGTGACCGGGAAAAAAAAGTTGTAATCCCGCTCAGATCGGAAAAGAAAATGTTCACTTTTTTGATGCGAGAAGTAGCTTGCTGCATGATCAAATTCAGCTGATGCGCATAGCAATGCACGTAATGGGCATTCTTGAAATGCTCACGCACCTTTTTCTGCACACCAGCCTTCTCTCCCCTCATCACACTGGCTCCATCGTAAGCTTGCGCAATGAGTTTGACTTTCTCGTCATCGGCAAAAAGACCGTTCAGTCTCTCCAAAAGTACACTGGCGATTGAGACTGAGGTTGATTCCGAGATGGGAAGGAACTCAAAAAATCGCTCCTGCACTTTGTGCTTGCTATCTATGTACCTCAGCACAAGCACCAACTGTGTCTGTGTAGAAACGTCCGTGGTCTCGTCAGCTTGGATAGCTACGAAGTTCGCAGACTTCACCTCCTCCACAATATGTTCCCTCGTGACCGCTAGCATACACTCCAGTAGCTCGTTTTGAATGGTCTTTGATGTGCCCTTGAAAACTTTAGCATTTTTAAGATGGTCATCAAACACCTCATCTAATTGTGCCACAAAGTTGACAAGTCCAAGAAAAATACCAGGGTTGGTGGAGCCCTCAGTTTCATCTTTGCCTCGCAAAGCTAACTCAAACACTCCGCAAAACTTCACACACTGGATTAGCCGGCTGAGGATATGGCGGTTCTTGCTAACCTCATCGTTGTGGCGGCGGACAGCTAGCCTGTATCCCTCATCCAGTTGAGTGGCAATATTCACTCTCCCCAAAGCAGAAATTCTCAAACAGCTATCCATGTGGGTCTTTGACAGCTCATGTTTCTTAATCTTTTCTGAAAGATGGTGCATGTCGGTTACACCAGTCGCTGTCCAAGCGGTGCTGTCTGCCGTGCCGCCTTCAGGGTGAATGAGTAAGCAGGGGTAGCAGAAAACTGCATTAGCTACATCGCAGCCTGCTAGCCAGGTTTTTCGTTCATACCAATTTTTGGAAAATCCTCGGGTGTAGGACTTCCCCCCTTTAGTAGAAACCTGTTGAATTATTAAATTTGGTCTGGGAGGTCCTAATTGTTTCGTTGCCAATTTATCTTCATTTGTTCGCCGACAAAAAGGAAATTCTTTCAAAGACACAATCGAGTTGCACTGAAGCCTAGCCATGTTGATAGTAGTAGTGAATTGATTGACGCTGCTACCCTCTCTTTTCTTAGTTACGTTCATGTGACGAAAGCGCGTAAGTGCAAGCCCACAGACACCCATTGAGATTGTATTGAAGGCTCTGAAATTTGAAAAAAATAGATTTTACATGGGAGTCTATGACAGAAGTTCTGGGCGATTTTCAATCTGACTGAAATCGCCCCAAAAGGGGGTGGAGCCATTTGAAGCACGACTTTAGCCTGATTCGACATTTAGTGGCAGTGTGGCACTGTGGCAGATCAGACGTATAGATTACAACACTGATAACTACTGTTGCCGTGATATAATTGATTAGAAAAAAAATCCCTTCCTTTTCCCGTTTGGCAGTGCGTCGCCCATATCGCCCTATTGAACAGGCCGTCCCTGAAAGGAGCACACTACACTTGCAGCGCGCTCTGTTTACAAACACTGATAACGCTTAGCTAATTAATTTGCATGTCCAAGAACACGCTACAACGTGCAGCGCGGTCTGTTCCCAAAAGCTGGGGAGATGGCTCACACTCCTAGCAACCCCACTGTCTTATCTCAACTTGGTCTCAGAGCATTTCATATTATTCTGTACGTAAATCGAACACACTCCATTTAGTAAGATATGTTACGTTTCGTATGGTATGTATTAATTTGTGGATGTCCATCACCCATTTCGTATGATATATTACGAATTACAATTTGTTTTATATGTTACGAATTTGCAAAACGTACAATATGTTACAAATTAGCAAAATGTATGGTATATTACGAATTCTAGCTAGGTTGCTAGGTGGCTAATGTTAGCTAGCTGGCTAATGTTAGCTAGGCTCTGCCTTGTATCAGTTTCTCAGAGTCCCGAGCAGAGTCTTGCAAGCAGGCACAGGTACAAGCAATGTCCCACAGCTTAACCACCGTATTTATCCTGTAGTGTATGTGATTTTAACATTACGGCACTCACACCTGTCTGATGTCCACTGTCATTCACTGTAACATCACTGTAATATACAGTGGACGTCAGAGAAGGTCAGTGTTCTGGATGTCCCATATGGGGGCTACACTCAAGACAGCCTTTCCAGCTGAAGGAGAGCTCCCTGGTCCAGTTCACAGCTGGATGTAAGTACAAGGTGTCCCAACATGTGAGAAATGGTTGGCGTTATTATTACTCTGCACTATGAGACTCAGTAATAAATCCATACCACTATGACATCATTGAGAACACTAATCAAACAAGTCAATTGATACAACAGCCATAAAAATGATGACTTGTTTCCATTGATGATATAAGCTGTCAGGCTGATGAAGTTAGTTGGATTCCAGTATTTTAATGTGAATTTTGCTATCTTCTCCTCTGTGTCATCATTAGTGTGCTTGTGCTTTCCCCTACAAATACCTGTGAGATCGATCAGCCTCCGTTCAGTGAAGGAGAGACAGAATCCCCCGGCCAGTCCACCAACCCCCCTCTCTGTGTTAACAAACCATAAATATCACTGATACCAACAGCCAGAGTACACACATGGGCAGGTATCAAAGGGCAATTCTAGAATTTACTCCTGTTCAGTTCCATTCCACAGGCTGGCAAGGGACCTGTGTTCCACTTCCAGGGGACTATACCAGAACTGAAGGGCTGAAAGAGAAGACTTTAGAAGAATATTTATTGTCCAGCACAGTGGGATATACTGGACACACTGGCTCCTGAGACCAACGACAGCCACGCCATCTCAGCCTCTTCTTCAATTCTCGCTCCTGCTGTGTGTGTCATTCTGTCTTGAGTCGTGAGGTGTCTTTTTCCCACCAAACTTTTCTATCTACAATCTCTTCTCCAGTCTGGGTCTACTTTCCACTGTCTCTGTCTGTGTGTGGCTGTAGATCTCCACTCCTCCTGTCCCTCTGTCATACCCTACCTGCAGTGTCACTGAGCTATCTGGTGACGGTGTAAAGACAGTATGTGTTGCACAGGGAAGTGTTCTCGTCTGGTGGGCCTGATCCTGTTGCCCTCGGCGTTTGCCTGTATCATCTCCAACATCCTCCTGTTCTTCCCCGACGGAAAGCAGCAGGAGAGCAGCCATGTCTCCATGCAGGTCTGGCTCATGGGCGGCCTCATCGGAGGGGGAATATTCGTGAGTATATTGACTGAGCATAGATGGACACCTTTACACCACTCATTCACCTGTACCCTCATGGGAAAAAAGGTTCTACAAAGGGTTCGACCTGGAACCCAAAAGGGTTCTTCAAAAGGTTCTCACATGGGGACAGCCGAAGAACACATTTGGAACCCTTTTTTCTAAGAGTGTACAAAGACTACAGGGCTATAGCGGTCATCTTGGGACAGGTCTCCCTTGTAAAAGACATGGAAACACCTGTGTAATAATGTATACATCCCTGGCTGGATAAAGGCATTCCCAGAATGTTTGTATTCTTCAGTGATATAAGTAGAATTTTGGAAGGATTTGGTATGAATAAAGATGAAAGATTATGGCAGAAAAGGAAGAAGAGGTTATGGTTGTTATTCTATTATCACAGACGGAGAGTAAAGGTAACATTGATTAATGGTTGACTATTTAATTACAGTGGGGAACATATTGTACTTCCCTCACTCTATTTGTCCTCCACTCCCAGGATGCATTGTGATATCAAAAGCATAACTCTCTCAAACATTACATCGAACAGAGCCACACTGGCACCAGTACATGCCAGTAGTGGGAAACAGATAGATAGTCAGTTTCCATCATCACTTTTGATATGCCTTGGGCAAAAAACTTTGGTCAGTAGACTACCAAATTGCTGCTATCAGAATATCCACTTTGATGCCCTTGTCAGTGGAAACTAAGCAAGCTGTTTTATATGGGTTTTATACCCTGTGGTATAATAGATAATAGATGTGATGATAAAGACGTTTCAGGGCCTATAACAGGGTGTGTCTTTATTAACAGTGTATTCATTATTATCTGGAGGAAATGTGAACAGCTCTAGTTGTTCAAGCCAACCCACTACTGTACTGTACTGTATGTTAGTACGCCCTCTTACTCCCAATCCCATCCATCCATCCCAGTCAGTCCTTGCCCTTTGGAACGAGAGAAGGAGATTTGATTCAGGATTTGACTAATATTTACGTAGAAGATAAGAGGATACGCGTGCACTGCACTCACAAACACAAATATGCAAGCGCATTCACGCACACACGCGTGCACGCACACACACAAACACACTGGAACGTGAGCAAAGAGCTCAAGAAGTACCCATACAATCAAGTGTTTTTTTTCACAGCAATATTTTCTCGGTGTTTTAGTGCATGTTATGATAGTTGATATGGATGATAAAGGTATCCTGTCTGTCTGTATTCTTTTCAGATGCTGTGCCCCAGCTGTTCGGCTATCAGGGCCGGGGGCAAGGGTTGCTGTGGAAATGGTTGCTGTGGAAACCGTTGCAGAGTGAGTAGGGGGTTTCCACTAGATAGCACAGCCACAAAGTCAATATTGGCTATAGCGTAACAATTAATGAAAACAAAAATAAATTAATATAAGGTTAGGGTTAGGCATAAGGTTAGTAGTGTGGAGCAGTTCAGAAAAAGAAAAAAAAAGCGAAACTCAGGAAATTGATGTAAGTGAAGGAGAGGCAGAAAAGGAGGATATTAAGTGTGTGTGTGTGTGTGTGTGTGATTGTCTCCAACAGATGCTGAACTCTGTCTTCTCTGCTGCATTCGGTTTGGTCGGAGCTATCTACTGCACCAGTGTCTCTTCAGCGGGACTGGCCATTGGACCTAAATGTGAGGTTGCTAGTGGAAAATGGGAATACCCCTTTGAGGACCTACCAGGGTGAGTCTCCTCTCTCTCTCTCTCTCTCCTCTCTCTCTCTCTCTCTCTCTCTCTCTCTCGCTTCTCTCTCTCTCTCTCTCTCTCTCTCTCTCTCTCTCTCTCTCTCTCTCTCTCTCTCTCTCTCTCTCTCTCTCTCTCTCTCTCGAAGTGGACATTAATATGCAATTTGGACAACATCCAGTTGATGGCAGAATAGACTAGTGGGTAAGTAGCAGACACCTCAACCCTCAACCCAGATCAGAGTCAGTCAGGGAGCATGCGGGCTCTGAATGTTTCTTGACCACCTCAACTAAACTAGGCCCAGGCCTGTTGTTTTTCCTGGTCAGGTCACATAGTTAATAACATATCAAACATCTATACAGCATCATGACAGAGTTGCAACAAGTTTATGGTAGAAATAATAAACAGAAGGATGTTGACGTTTCTGTGGTGTACATGCATGAGCATGGAAAGACTCTCTCTTTGTAGTCAGAGCCAAAGATAATGTTGTGGTTGTAGGGAATCAAGTTTGACAGCTGATTACTGAATACATGATAATGACAGATGTCTGCACTGTTTTAACCTGTCCTCCCTTCTGCTACTTACTGAACTGTATCTCTCTTCTCTGGCCATCGTTTCAACTTATCCTCTCTTCACTAAACCTGCCTCTTCATCTTTACTTTCCCTCAATACTTTACTTTCTCCCCTCCGTTCATAATGGATCTATTTGAAACACATTGGACTATGACGCTCCTCTAACCTCCTTTTGCATTCCCTCTCTTCCCTCTTACCCCTAAACCACTCTCGTCCATCCCTGTCCTTTTTCACCCCTTTCTTCCTCCGCATCCCCATTTTCCGTTCTTCCTCTCATTCCTGTCCTCTCTCACATCTTCATCCCCTCCCTCCTCCCATCCCCCTCTCCCCCTTCCCCCTCCTCTATAGTGGGAACAGCAGTTACCTGTTTGACCACTCCCTGTGGGAACTGTGTGTGGCCCCTGCCAATGCAGCCCTGTGGCACCTGGTCCTCTTCTCCATCACGCTGGGCCTGGGGGGCCTGCAACTCATCCTCTGTGGCATCCAGGTCAGAGAATTGAATAGAACACATAGCTTTTGTCCCAAATGGCACCCTATTCCCTATATACTAGTGCACTACTTTTGACCAGAACCCTATGGGCCCTGGTCACAAGTAGTTCACTATAAAGGGAATAGGTTGCTTTTTGGGACGTAGACATACTTTCATAATGATGCATGTAATTGAATGTATCGCTGTGACATCCAGGTAGTCAACGGCTGCATCGGCTGCTTCTGTGGGGACTGTCGTGACGACAAGGAGGTAAAGAAACAAATTAATCTGATTATCAATTGATTTGAAATGATTGTTGATTAATTATAAATAATTATATTATATGGCTGACCCAGTGTTTCTGCAGAAGTAATTATGCTGTTGTAACATTTGATAGTTGAGTAGAGGAGTGTTGAGTTTTTGTTCTGAAGTAAAATAATGCCATTTATAAGAAATTGAACATTTACAGAATAGCACAACATATCTGTATAGTTGGGTTAGGTAAGGGTAATGTGAAAGGATTGCACTAAAACCACTCTAACAAGCATACATGAAGGGTTATTATTACCTGAGTACAATCTGATGACCCAACACAATGCACAAGCCTAATAGATTGAAGTCCAGCTCGGCGAAATTCAGGCTAAAATTAATAAATCAATGGGTGGTTAAAGATTAAGCTGAGATTTAGTTGCTGGTTGAACATACAGTAAGAGGAGGTATGTACACAAAGATCCTGTACATTATTATGTTGTGTACCTTTATTCACTCACCTCCCATTCTGTTGCTTCCCAAATGGCACCCTATTTCTTATATAGTGCACTACTTTTGACGAGAGTCATATGGGGCCCTTGTCAAAAGTAGTGCACTATATAGGGAATAGGATGCCATTTGTGATGCAGACACTTAACCTATGCTTGCAATATATTAATATCCATTGATTCTTGTTGAATCACTGTGTTAAATCAGTGATGTATAAAATATCAAACATTAACGATGGTAACAAGATATTAATTACTCTTCTTCCAATAACCACAAAACCCTAAATCTGAGGTTGCCTTTTGAAGAAGTGATTATGAACATGTATAATTGTTTCTGGTTTATTTTTGCAGGATGATGGAGGATTGTGAGATGGAGTGAGAAGAAGTAGAGAGGACTGCCCTGCAATGCCACAGCCTGTCTCCCTGACGACTAGTGCTGAGCGATTAGTGCGTTTTGAGTTCGGTTCAGTTTCGGTTAGATTCTAAAAGATTATCACGGTTTTTGATTTCGGGTTCGATTATATAATACACTATGCGCTATGTGTGTTGAACGCTGTAACAACACAGAATAAAACAATTAATACAAGTCCAATGATGGTAGTGACTGCCCATTACTGCTTATCACTTATTAACCATAATTCTTTCACATTACTTTACTTTAATAACATATTTGTTTTATTTTATTATTTCATTACAAGTCATCATCTCATATAGAGCTGCTGCCTATGCTGTCTGACAAAATCAAATTGTTTTAGTTTTTCAAAGTAAATAAGGCATACTTTTATGACTGCTGAATACCAACTATCATACTTAGATCATGTATTTTCAGGCTCGCGAAGCAACTGCTTTCAATTCCTCTCGACAGCACACACGTTCTCTCTTCTCTGTCTCCCGGTCTCCGTGTCTTGCACCGCACAGACCGGACAAGTTTAAGCGGGCACACAATAGATTATGGTCATTGTAATTAATTACAACGTTTTCTGCGCTAAACTATGTCGAATAGTTTAGCTCCCTACTACATCGCACAGTTCGGGCTTGATCTGAATTATCTCTACAGAAATTGCACATTGAGCTCACAGAAAACCCCCGAACCGAGGTCGGTCAATTAGTTGTTTAAAACCAAAGAATAACCGAAATTTCAGTTAATCGCTCAGCACTACTGATGACATACCAGTACCAGGACTGCCAATCACTTACTACACAATTTTAAAAAAAATGCCTATCTGCCAGGAGCTTTCCCTTTTGTGTTTGAAGCATATTGTCTGCTTTTGATATGTTCAAATCAAGCCAATGTGTCATATCAATCATAGTCATTGTAGTTCTTTAATCTCTCAAAACTGCTATGTCATAGTTGTAACTCTTGCCTCTGTTTCATGTGTTGCCCATGGAAACAAAAATACAGTAGGTCATCTGAGGATTCCTCAGGAGTTGCTCAAGTTATTTTCCATTCTTTATTTCATTTCCTTTAAGCAACCATTTCTTTCACATTACCTTTTGTATATTTCTTTGTATAATCACATAAGTCAAAACAATTCAAATAAGCAATACAACTTGGAAAATTAGACATGTTTTTCTGTTATTGGTCAAGTAGTCATTGGTCAAGTAGCCTATGAAGTCTTCGTAATCTGGGTACTGGTAATTCAATACTGGCCAACAGTTAATGACGAAGGCAGACAACTGAGAAGTTCACCTGTATCAAAGTCCTAACCCAACTTAACCCAGAGTTACATAATAGAAAGCAACGAAAAATCCCTTGATTAAGCACAAAAACTGTACATCCTGTAAACTCTGCAGGAATGATTCACTTTTAATAACTATGATACGTAAGCAGAATCACTGGTCTGTTTAACCTGTCAATAACTGACCATTTTTGCAAGGTTGTCAGAAGTATAGGGAGAGGAAGAGAGAGAAAGAGAGGAGGGATAAAGAGAGAGGAATGAGATAAAGACAGAGATAACTCATTAGTTCTGTTACACACAGGTAGCCAGCTCAGAACTAACAGAAGTGTGTGTCAGGGGCAGGTCAGAGGTCACAGTGACCCCTGTGGTGACTGTAAGAAATGCAGATGGAAAAACTGATGTCAGGGGCTGGAGTGGACTGGAGTGAGTTGATGCTTTCGTGTAGTAGTAGAACAAGATCAGGTTAAGCTCATAATCCTTTGTTGCCATCGAGCAGCTTTGTGGTAATTGTTACCTAACTTTCCAGATAAACACTGTTAGTAGCACTAGAAGGGGATAAATATAGATTCTGTTCTCAAGAAGAAAACAAGCAGAAAGAGAGAGGCTGAAAGAGAGAGAAACAGAGAGAGGCTGTTGTATGACCGGCAGACTGACGGGGGAATACTGCACATACTTCAGCCATAACCTGAGAGAAAGGTGTACTCACAAGGGGTAACGAAACCCAAAACCACCCCTGGAAATGCCTGTGACCAAGGTTATGTTCCAATGTCCATGTACTAGGGTGGTTAACGCATAGGATGTATGCCCATTGTAGTGGTATGCTACTGGAACACAGCCAAATACTCCTCCAGAGCTCATTGGGTGGCTGAGGTCCCAGGTAGCCCTCCATTACATAAGACAAGTCAATTGGGTCTCCTATGTCAGGTAGCTCTGTTATAAAATAAGACTAGGCAGGAAAACGTGGGAGAGAAAAGAGAGTGAGAGAATTCTTTGACTGCCACTTCTCATGCGACTTACACACAAACAGAGTGAGACTGAATGAGAGAAGTTAAAGAAAGCTAAAAGAGGACAAAAGAGGTGGAGGAGAGAGAGAGTGAGCAAGAGAGAGGAAATGGACAAACAATTAGAAGGCATTGGCCAGTTTGGTAAGTCGAGTATGAAGCCAAGACTTCTTGTGTTTTATACGCATGCATGGAGCACTCACTTACCCCCTGATGTGAATCCATTATTTGCCACTCAACCCCTTATGTCCCGAAAACATCTGCTCTACTCCCCTTCTCACTCCCCGTCTGGCCCAATGAGGCAGACAGAGATATAACAGAACAGAACAGAACCAATTATTTAGCCAGGGCTACTGAACCCCTTACCTGACCCCCCCCCCCCCCCCCCCCTTCTCCCATCCAACCAAAAAGGGTTATTCGGCTGTCCCCATAGGAAAACCCTTTGAATAACCTCTTTTGGTTCCAGATAGAACCCTTTTGGTTCTAGGTAGAACCCTTTTGATTCCAAGTAAGAGTGTCTGCTAAATGACGTAAATGTCAATGTAAGTAGAACCCTTTTGGGTTCCATGTAGAAGGTTCTACATGGAACCCAAAATAGTTATACCTGGATTCCAAAAGAGTTCACCTGGAACCAGAAGGTTTCTCCTATGGGGACAACTGCAGAACCCTTTTGGAACCTTTTTCTTTAAGAGTGTACTCCCCCTAGACTCTGACTCCCCATCTGGGCTGAGGAGACATAATGGAACGGAGCAAAACAGAACACAACTTGTTTCAACTGGTCACAACAGCTTATACACAACTCAATAGAGTTATGTACATACATCCTACATAAATCATATATAGGCTACTCTTGTTCAGAATAACAGCAAATGACAGAAAGTGAGACGAATGTTATTCTGCTATTCTTTCAACTGTCTTCCTTTCTCTCATGTCCTTTTAACTTATCTCCTTTCCTTTCCCCAGGGATACTATGATGCCAGCAGTCAGCAGATCAGCCACCAAAGAGCTGGTTTGAAACAACAGACCTGGTGCCCAGACCAGGGCTGCTGTACCCAGACACACTAACTCTCACTAAGCATTGACCACCTCTGTAATTACACCCATATGATTACACAACCCAGTCCTGACCCGTGCCAACCATAGGGTGCCAACCCACAGAGTAGACAGACAGACGAAAACAAAGACACAGTGGAGCGGTACGGGACAGGACAGGACAGGATAGGACAGGACAGGACAGGACAGGACAGAATAGGTTGGACAGGACAGGACAGGACAGGACAAGACAGGACAGGACAGAATAGGATAGGACAGGACAGGAAAGGACAGGACAGGATAGGATAGGATAGGACAGGACAGGACAGGACAGGACAGAATAGGATAGGACAGGACAGGACAGAATAGGATAGGATAGGATAGGATAGGATAGGACAGGACAGGACAGGACAGGACAGGACAGAATAGGACAGGACAGGATAGGACAGGACAGGACAGGACAGGACAGGACAGGACAGAGCAGGACAGGATAGGACAGGACAGGACGGGACGGGACAGGACAGGACGGGACAGGACAGGATAGGACAGGATAGGACAGGACAGAATATGACAGGACAGGATAGGACAGGATGGGACAGGATAGGACAGGACAGGACAGGACAGGACAGGACAGGACAGAGCAGGACAGGATAGGACAGGACAGGACAGGACAGAGCAGGACAGGACAGGATAGGACAGGACAGGAAAGGACAGAGCAGGACAGGATAGGATAGGACAGGACAGGACAGGACAGGATAGGATAGGACAGGACAGGACAGAATAGGATAGGACAGGACAGGATAGGATAGGGTATGACAGGACAGGACAGGACAGGACAGGATAGGATAGGACAGGACAGGACAGAGCAGGACAGGATAGGACAGGACGGGACAGGATAGGACAGGACAGGACAGAGCAGGACAGGATAGGACGGGACGGGACGGGACAGGACGGGATGGGATGGGATGGGACAGGACAGGACAGGATAGGACAGGACAGGACAGGTCTGTGCCAACAAGTATTATAGTGTATTGTTTTGTGTATTTGTATGCCGACTTCACAAAATTACTTTCCATGTAAATGGAGAATAAAATATATCGTATCGTGGAGAGGGTATGTATTCTAGTTGATCAAAATATGACATTCTTTAAAAATACGAAACTTTAGCCTAAGACAACATTCACAGTATGACCATTGTACAGTACACATCTACTCTCTCTAATATGAAAATGTTCCACTACTTATGTATCTGGGTAGATTATCAAATTCATCCATAACAGATCCTAACATCAAGCTGTTTTGAAATACAGAAGAGTTTAGATTACCTTTCAAAACTTGTCAATGTCCAAACCAACTACATATTCTGCCTGCTTCTCAAGGATGAGCACCTGTTGTCACCATAACTGTTACTATGATGACATCAGCCAAGCCTCCATATTCTAGACATGTTTGTTAGAGTATGTTGATGCACCGTAAACAGAGATTATACAACAGACATTACATTAGTATCACCGCCACAGCAGCTTCATCATCTAAATGGAGCTCCGAGTACAATGGAATTTGAGCTATGCTGTAAATAATAAGAAAAAAGCGACAAGAGAGAAAAAGCATGTATGATATTGGTCTTTGACATCATAGTTCTAGGAAACAGTTCTAGGAATATGTTCATGGTTTTAGTAAATAGCTATTTGGTTTGCTGGTTGGTTTTATCATCAACATGTGTTGGTGGTGGCTGGGAGGATCCTATATGCAATGGTTGTCTAGTTCTGGTTTTCTGTTCTATTTGTTCCCAGCACACAAAGGAAGAGCGGTGAGGGTACAAGAAGAGGGGAGAGAGAGTTGGGGACTCATAAATGGGAAGAAAGAGGGAGCGGGGAGGGGAGGGTGGGGAACATCATGTCCTCAAACTGCTGGACACAAGAACCAGCCGAGGGCGACGTCAACCGGCTTGTCCCCCAGGCCCCCTTATCCCGGCCCCCTGCCAAAACCCACAAGAGCCTGGATGTGTGGGAGGGGGAGATGGGGAGAAGTGAGTGAGAAGAGTAAACACATGTTAGACACACAGACCCAGACTTGATCTGACTGGTTTCGTATTAGATTTACTGACTTTGATTCAAATGTTGATCATTTGTTGATCATTGAATAGTATTAGTCCCCCATTTAGTTTACTGCATTTAGTATACTGTGTAGATACATGAAAATGCCTTTATCAGTCATGCGGTGGTGTTAGGTATGTAGAGCAGATGTATTGTAAGACAGCAGGTTGAAGTTGCTTAGTTGGGCCATCTCTCCATAGGGTGCTAACCCACAGAGTAGACAGAAGGAGGACAACAAAGATACAATGGAGAAGGACAAGACAGGACAGAACAGGACAGGATGAGACAGGACGGGACAGAACAGGACAGGACAGGCAGAACGAGACAGGACGGAACAGGACAGGACGGGACAGGACAGGACAGGACAGGACAGGATAGGACAGGACAGGATAGGACAGGACGGGACAGGACAGGACAGAGCAGGGCAGGACAGGGCAGGACAGGACAGGTCTGTGCCAACAGGTATTATAGTGTATTGTTTTGTGTATTCGTATGCCGACTTCACAAAATTAATTTCCAAATTAATGGACGGTAAAGTATATCGTATCGTGCAGAGTATGTTTTCTAGATGATCAAAATATGACATTCTTTAAAAGTATGACACTTTGGCCTAAGACAACATTCACAGTATGACCATTGTACAGTACACATCTACTCTCTCTAATATGAAAATGTTCCACTACTTATGTATCTGGGTAGATTATCAAATTCATCCATAACAGATCCTAACATCAAGCTGTTTTGAAATAGAGAAGAGTCTAGATTACCTTTCAAAGCTTGTCAATGTCCAAACCAACTACATATTCTGCCTGCTTCTCAAGGAGGAGCACCTGTTGTCACTATTAATGTTACTATGACGACATCATGAGAGCTTGGGACTAAAAGGTTCTATCTGCATTTGTGTCCTAATGTAGTTATTGACATAGCCTTGTTCTGTTCAATGTTCTCTACCTATATAGTACTATAAATACCCCAATTCCTGTTGTTAAGTTCAAAAGAATACGAGATAGAAATAGCTGACACCATTCAAACCAATGAGGTTTCGGAATATTAACGCCAATTATCTCAGAATCATCTTTTTGCAGATGGAACCTTCTAGTCCCAAGCTCTCGATTCAGCCAGGCCTCCACATTCTAAACATGTGTGTTACAGTCTGTTGATGCACCATGAATAGAGTTTATACAACAGCATCACATTAGTATCGCCGCCACCGCAGCTTCATCATCTAAATGGAGTGCCGGGTACAGACGAATTTGAGCTATGTTGTAAATAATAAGCAAAAAGCGACAAGAGAGAAAAAACATGTAAACTCAGCAAAAAAAGAAATGTCCCTTTTTCAGGACCCTGTCTTTCAAAGATAATTCGTAAAAATTCAAATAACTTCACAGATCTTCATTGTAAAGGGTTTAAACACTGTTTCCCATGCTTGTTCAATGAACCATAAACAATTAATGAACATGCACCTGTGGAATGGTCGTTAAGACACTAACAGCTTACAGTTGGTAGGCAATTAAGGTCACAGTTTTGAAAACTTAGGACACTAAAGAGGCCTTTCTACTGACTATGAAAAACACCAAAAGAAAGATGCCCAGGGTCCCTGCTCATCTGCGTGAACGTGCCTTAGGGGGAGAGAAAGTGGGAGGAGAGAGAGAGAGTATGAAAAATTTATGCACTCACTAATTGTAAGTTGCTCTGGATAAGAGCGTCTGCTAAATGACTAAAATGTAAAAATGTAAATGCTGCAAGGAGGCATGAGGACTTCAGATGTGGCCAGGGCAATAAATTGCAATGTCCGTACTGTGAGATGCCTAAGACAGCGCTACAGGGAGACAGGACGGACAGCTGATCGTCCTCGCAGTGGCAGACCACGTGTAACAACACCTGCACAGGATCGGTACATCCGAACATCACACCTGCTGGACAGGTACAGGATGGCAACAACAACTGCCAGAGTTACACCAGGAATGCACAATCCCTCCATCAGTGCTCAGACTGTCCTCAATAGGCTGAGAGAGGCTGGACTGAGGGCTTGTAGGCCTGTTGTAAGGTAGGTCCTCACCAGACATCACCGACAACAACGTCGCCTATGGGCACAAACCCACCATCGCTGGACCAGACAGGACTGGCAAAAAGTGCTCTTCATTGACGAGTCGCGGTTTTGTCTCACCAGGGGTGATGGTCGGATTCGCGTTTATCGTCGAAGGAATGAGCGTTACACCGAGGCCTGTACTCTGGAGCGGGGTCGATTTGGAGGTGGAGGGTCCGTCATGGTCTGGGGCGGTGTGTCACAGCATCATCGGACTTAGCTTGTTGTCATTGCAGGCAATCTCAATGCTGTGCGTTACAGGGAAGACATCCTCCTCCCTCATGTGGTACCCTTGCTGCAGGCTCATCCTGACATGACCCTCCAGCATGACAATGCCACCAGCCATACTGCTCGTTCTGTGCGTGATTTCCTGCAAGACAAGAATGTCAGTGTTCTGCCATGGCCAGCGAAGAGCCCAGATCTCAATCACATTGAGCATGTCTGGGACCTGTTGGATCATTCCCCCCAGAAATGTCCGGGAACTTGCAGGTGCCTTGGTGGAAGAGTGGGGTAACATCTCACAGCAAGAACGAGCAAATCTGGTGCAGTCCATGAGGAGGAGATGCACTGCAGTACTTAATGCAGCTGGTGGCCACACCAGATACTGACTGTTACTGTTGATTTTGTTCAGGGACACATTATTCAATTTCTGTTAGTCACATGTCTGATGTCTGTGGAACTTGTTCAGTTTATGTCTCAGTTGTTGAATCTTGCTATGTTCATACAAATATTTACACATGTTAAGTTTGCTGAAAATAAACGCAGTTGACAGTGAGTTTCTTTTTTTTTCTGAGTTTATGATATTGGTGTTAGACATCATAGTTCTAGGAAACAGTTCAAGGAATATGTAC